CCAACTTTTTAATTTAATAAGGGAAAAACAGACTGCCTGAATTTTCTCCTGTGAAAATGACTGTCCTGACTCCAAGTCATATTAATTATTATTTATTATTAACAACATATTAATTATTTGTATTATCATAATAATGCTGAGGATGTATCTTTTTCTTCCAAAGTTTTTCAAATACTGGATAGTTTATCAAAAAGTGCTTGAGTAGATAGATTAGCCATTAGGGAGGAGAATGCTTTTTAAATAGATAACTTGGACGAAGAGGCTGTAATGAATGCAGGATTCCCTCCTGCATCCTGATGCTGCTTGGGAATAGCACAGCACAAGGTAGCACAAGCCTCTACATGAGCAATGAGTAGACTTGGCAAATGAAACTTCTTCCCATCTTTCATAGATGCATACGCTAGAAGGACCATTGTGATGAGCTATTCTGACTTACTGCTTTAGCGTAAGACATAGAATATCACCCAGTAATTTCTGTGCCAAGTCCATCATTTCTGTTGGAACTGTGGTGTATTGTGGAGGAGTCCACTTGCAGCAGGAGCACCTGCTTGTGGCCAGATATAGAGAATAAGACGGAGAATATCTTATTGCCCTTATATAAATCCATGGTACACCCACATCTTCAATACTGTGTACAGATGTGGTCTCCTCATCTCAAAAAAGATATACTGGCATTAGAAAAGGTTCAGAAAAGGACAACTAAAATGATTAGGGGTTTGGAACGGGTCCCATGTGAGGAGACATTAAAGAGACTGGGACTTTTCAGCTTGGAAAAGGGGAGGCTAAAGGAGGATATGATAGAGGTATATAAAATCATGAGTGGTGTGGAGAAAGTGAACAAGGAAGTTATTTACTTGTTCCCATAATATAATAACTAGGGGCCACCAAATGAAACTAATGGGCAGCAGGTTTAAAACAAATAAAAGGAAGTTCTTCACACAGCGCATAGTCAATCTGTGGAACTCCTTGCCTGAGGAGGCTGTGAAGGCAGGACTATAACAGGGTTTAAAAGAGAGTTAGATAAATTCATGGAGGTTGAGTCCATAAATGGCTATTAGCCAGGATGGCTAAGGAATGGTGTCCCTACCCTCTGTTTGTCAGAGGATGGAGGTGGATGGCAGGAGAGAGATAGCTTGATCATTACCTGTTTGATTCACTCCCTCTGGGACACCTGGCTCTGGCCACTGTCGGCAGACAGGGTACTGGGCTGGATGGGCCTTTGGTCTGACCCAGTATGACCATTCTTATGTTTTTATGACATGCCATAGTGACTACTCCCCAGTTGCCACCTCTCAATAGTCACTCCAGTCCTGCAGTGGTCTCTCGCCCCATGAGTCTTTTCTCCAGCTGTGTCATGATTTAGTCCATCCCTTATGGGGTAATAATGTTCCAACTCAAAAGGAACAAAAACTTCCATCCTTCAACCCAGTCAGTCCTCAGTACACTCCTGACCCCCATCCCAAGCTCTGCAGAGTTCCTCTTCACTCTGTCACAGAGAGCTGCTTTCAGAAGGGGGTGGGGAGGCCCAGCTCCTCCCAAGCCACTGGCACTCAGGTCTTCTGCTCTGGAGCCTGTCTGCACCCAGGTCTGCTTTAGAAAAATCTTACTCCCCAGTCTGCCCTCTCCCTTCAGGAACAGTCTCAGGGTACCAGCTCCTTCCTGCAAGCCCCTCTGTTGATCCTATCCTTTAGTCTGGACCTTCTTCCAGTGCCCAGCTTTCCTAGCCTTGCCCCTCTTTCATGGCCCGACTCCTCTTTCAAAGTTCTTACTCAGGCCTGCCTTCTCTTAAGGAGGCCTGCTGCCCCGGCATGTTCCCTTCCCTGTAGGCCAGGGGTGGGCAATAATATTTGAACGAGGACCACTTCAAAATTTTTGAAGTGGTTGTGAGCTGCCCCGGATGGGACGGGGCCTCAAGCGGAACGGGCAGGCCTTTAAATAGCAAGAGTTGAAAGTGCTCACAGCTCCCTAGCATCACACAAGCGGGAGCTGCGAGCCCTTTCAGCTGCTTCTATTTAAAGGGCTTGTGCCTTCCCCTTTGCTGCCAGGCAACGCGTTGCCCATCCAGCGCAGGGAAGGCACGAGCCCTTTAAATAGAAGCAGTTAAAAGGGCTCGCAAGTCCTGGCTCCCTAGCAACGCACTAGGGGCACGGGGAGCTGTGAGTTCGTTTAACTGCTTCTATTTAAAGGGCTCACCACTGGAGTGTCACATGGTGTGCTCCAGGCAGGGCTGGGTTGGGGAGGCATGATGTGCTTCAGGCGGTCCTGACAGCTGGCTGTTCCCAGCCCTGCCTCCTCCACCTGAGGCCCTGCCCCTTTTGGGAGTGAAGAGCCACCCACAAACACACACACACTTTGCTTGAGGGTCCAGCTAGGCTATCAGCTCCCGTGCTTCACTGCAACCCAGCTTGCCTTTCCAGCCTTCCGTCATCTAGCTAAATTTCTAGGGCTTACTCTTCACCAGCTCTTTCTCCAAAGCTGCCTGCCCCTCTCTGTTTCTGTCTCTCTCTGGTAAAGCAAACTTAACTGAATAGCTGTGGCCACCAACAATAATTGCTAAATACTCAGCTGTTTATAATTTTTCACTCTGCCCTGTGTCCATCAGGTGCCTTTCTGTATGACCTCGTTTCCCTGATATTTTTAGTGAGTAACAGAATACAGTTTGTTACCTTACGCCATTTAAATTCCTCAGAAAGCTTTTTCCCTTTTCTTTATCAAAGCCCGGACATACAAAGCCATATATATAAAAGATGATCATTTTGTTTCTTCTACCCTACGGTATTCAGATAGTCAATCTTTGTGTTTATTTTTTTTCAAAAAAATGTGTAAACTACAATAGCCAGTTAGAACTCTAAACAAAATCACTTCATTTTCCCTATCCAGGCCCTGAAATATGTCATTGTCCTCAACTCCAAGGCACAGTTTAAAATCTCTTCTGCTTCTTTTTTCGTTGATCCAAAGATTATGCCATTCTCCTTTGAAATTTAGAATTCCTTCTTACTCAAGGATACTCCTCTGTCAATCCTTCCATTTCTAACAGGGATCTTAGCTGCTTTGTCCCACCGTTTCAGTTCCTCTTGTTCCTGGTATGCGCAGGGATTCAGGCTAATGCTACACATGTCCCCATCGGTTCTAACTCTGTCCCTAGAAATATAATTTGCTTAAATCGCTCCTGCATTGGTAGATAGTCTTTCTTATTGCCATAAGGCCTGAGTCTGAGTGAAAAAATGATCATGGCTGCTGGGCATCGGCCCCTTTCTACTACAGATGGGTTTTTTTTCCTTTATATTAACAAGCCTGCTCCTTCCCAGCTGGGCTTTATGATCAAGTAAGCGGGGCTCCTCATCCAGGTGCAACGTGGTATTGTTAATTGGCTCTCAGGTCCACATTAGCCCCTTCGGGCCCACGTGGGAGACATCCAGTCATGGGTTAAAGATTGTGAGGGAGGGAGAATCCTCCACATCTGAAGTAAGAATTCAGGCAGAGAAAAACTGATCTGCACTGCACATGTTGTCAGAAAGCTGCCCTGGGCTCAGGACTTGAACTCGCAGTTCGAGGGGTGTGCTCGAGTTCAGTGGCCGCAGCTGGTCTCTGCTGGCATGTTAGAGCCATAGAGCTAAGAATAGTGATTGAGACATGTCAGACAGTTGTCGTCCTGGGACACCAGATGTGTGATCCAGTTTGGCTGTTCTCCTGCTCTCAACAGTGACCATTGCCTAGTGTTTCAGAGGCATGGGGAACCTGCTTTAATTGCCCAGTGCTGTAGTGGAGGGGAAACGTCTTAACTTGTCCCAGTAGAAGGTCAGCTTATGCCCTGCAGTGTTCAGCCTGCTTGTGCATGGAGTGGGTTCTGCTGATTGGTTGGATTTGAGGCACTAGCTCTGTGAAGCTCCACACTGGGAGATTTAGGCAGGCTGCTTTTGTAATGGCAGGGAGTGTACCAGCGTTGGCACGAAGGCTGTGCTGTGCCCTATCTCTCTAACTTCCATGGGGGAAGCATAAAGAATCATGGTCAGCAGCCTATACTGGTGCATGGCGTTTCCATTGCATTCTGGATGGAGGCACTTTCTCTTCTGTCCCCACACTCCACCCTCCCACCAACCATGGCCCCTTGGACATGGCACATCATAATGCTCAGAGCTCAGCAGCGGGGTTGCTTCTGGAAATGCTGAGATAGGAGTGCATGAAAGTGCTCCTAAACCCTGATCTCTAGCGTCCGCCCAAAGAGCGGGCAGATATTTAGCTGATCTGCTTCACTGTGTCCGTTCTGGTGGGCTCAGTGGTGACCCCCTCCCCGAGTTGCAGTGGCAACCCCCCCTCCACGCCCCGATTTGCTGTGCTACCAAGATTTACAATTGCTGCAGGATGGGACTTACCCTTTTTACAGTTTAATGACTAAATTTAGTCTCCAAATTTGGCACAATAGCTCCTTGAAGGATAATGGAAATGTCTATATGATGTTTAAAGTAAGATATTGACTAACTTCTGCACAGGAAACGCTTTAAAATGGTTATTTTCTGAGATCCTGCATAGAACAGAGTATCTTTGTTTCCCTCTCCCTCCCATCGAGGATTACAGGACCTTGGAAATCGCAATCTGACCACTCCTCACTGTGTTATTTAAGGAGCGGCTTGCCTCTAATACACCCATTGTACCACTGGGAGAGGAGGGTGGAAGGAGAAGATCAGTGATCTGAAACAGACTGTATTCTAGTCCCATCGTTTACTCAGCTGACCAGTGGGGTTTAATGAGAAAATAGAGTAAACATTCCAGAATCCATCTGGATCTCTTTCATGCGGATACATTGTGTATGTGTGTCCTAGGTTTTCCTCCTTTGACTGATTTGGGAGAGGTACATTTGGCATTGGCTTGTGCAGTAATTGGGTTTATTTCTACTCTCTTTTCTTTCACGCTGTCACTTGGAGGGAACTCAGTCACCTCTTTTTAATGCCACTAGTGATCAGATTTGGGGTTGAGCATCATTGTGGGGAGTGGTCCGGTGGCTATGGCACAATGCTCTTGGAAAGATCAGGAGATCTGAATTCTCTGGATCTACTGTGTCTTTGTTTCCCCTCCCACCCTTTGCCTGTCTTGCCTATTTAGACTGAAACTTGCTGGGGCAGTGACTGTCTTTTGCTATTTATCTGTACAGCGCGTAGCACAATGGGGCCTCTAGACGCTATTGTAATAACAGTAGGGACAACACTTTGTCACCCAGCTGTGAATTCTTGTACCGTGCTCACCCAGACGTCATGTAGCAGCCCATATGCTCTTGCTTCCTCATTCTGACTTTCATCGTTCACATAAAGTAGCTTCACATTTGTCCCTTTGGCATCTGTGCCTAGGGATCTAGATTTCCTAGCATTAGCTCAATGAGGTGGCAACAGAGATAGGTAGACCTGCTCTTTGGAGCTGCTGTTCTGTCCCATTGAAATGTATTCCCTTTTGGGGTAGAGGGGAAAGCTAGCTGGACTGGACCCCTCCTTATTGTGGTAATCTCCCCTGAGTTTCAGTGGCAAGATTCTTTCTGTTAATATTCTGAACAGGGCGGAGAGAGCTTTCTATGGCAATAGAAGAAGGGAAGAACATCATGCCATTGAAGTGAAAATGATCATTTTAGCTGCTTTCTATCCTTTGTGACCCACTTCCTCTTCATCCCCACTCCCTTCCTTTATTGTGCAATGGAGAGCAGGGCAGCAGTAGTGACCTGAGATATAGCAGTGCTCAGTGGCACATAGTGAGTGTCATCTGTACTAGCATTTCCAACTAATGTGCAAGAGGCCACGTCAGCAATACAACTGTTAAACTCAAAATCCCCCTTGGAGGTGGAGCAGTTCTGTTTTCCCTGTCTCGTAGGTGGGAAAGCCCAGAAAGGGGAACTGACCTGCCTGCAGTGGTACTCAGCAAGTCGGTGTCAGAGCTGGTATCCAAATTTAGGATCCATACAACATCAGTTGAAGTCAAGGGGAGTTTTTCCATTGACTCTAGGGAGCTCTTGTCCAAACTTTTGTCTTCCGTTCAGGGAGCAAAGTTTTGTGCTCTAGATCCGACTGCTTCTCCAGCCCAGCATGCCCACGTGGAACAGAAGCAGATGTTATTCTCACCATCAATACATAGCAACAGAGCCTAGATAGTAACTAAAATATTCAGTTATAGATGCATAGATTGTCAGGTGAGAAGGGGAGCAGCACTTTGGTCACCCAGTCTGACCTCCTGCCCAGGCATTTCACCATGTAGGATCCTGCACAGCATAGGAAATTGAGAGGGACATTGAGATGTAGGACTGAGGTTGTTTGAGGACAGCATTGACCAGCCCTAAGAGCCAAAGCCATTTCCAATGGAAGTAAATCAGTTTCTCGACAGATGGGAGCAAAAATAAAGCAGAGGGCAAGGAGGTGTCTGTGTAATGAGGAGATTCAAAGGGGTGCATTATGTTATTTGGAACAGAGACAGAAAGGGTAGAAATACATCCTCACATGGTAGAGAAGAGAATTCTCCTTTTTGCCCTGCCCTGTAATATAGCATATGGGGCACATGACAAAGATAAAATGACATATGTTTGAAATGGATTAAAGGAAATGGCTTTTTAACTTGGTATATAATGAACTCCTGGAATTCACCACCACGGGATGTTATTGCAGTACATAGTTTATAGCAAAATTCAAAGGTTACACGGGCTATCAACTCTCCAGCTGCAGGGCATAAATTGATTGCCAGCTGGGGTCATGGAAAAATATTTCCCTTCATGGAATTACATTGCACAATCATCCCAGGTGCACAGGGAGGGGTTTGCTTCCCTCTTACACTTCATGTGCAAGCCACTGCAAGAGGCAGGATACTGGGCTAGTCCGTGGCTATTTCATGGTGGAAAATGTGTAGCATGCAGCTTCATGAATAAAGTGAACTTCAAGGAGCATTTTTCAGCATAAAGGAAATTTTCCATGCATCTGTCACAAGCTGCTTTTTCTCTTGTCAATGCAGTACTGAAAACATCTCAACTCCCCCACTGCTGGAGCGCTGATGGGAAAAGAGCTGCTCCCATAGCAGTCATCAGAAATGGGCTAAGTGCCTGATCCAAAGCTGATTGAAGGCAAAGGGAGATTTCCATTAACTTTAATGGGCTCTAGATTCAGGCCCTTGTATGCCCAAGTGGATGTGGTTTGGCTTTTCTTGTAAAATGCTTTGAGATTTACAGATGACTTGCCCTTTATAAGCGCTAGCAAGTATTGTTAATTTTCACCTGCAGGAAGATGTTGTTTCATTTTATTAAGTGGATCTGTGAACACTACCACTGGCAAAACACCAGCAAAAAGGAAGAAAACTCTATAACAAAATATTTTTATTGGTTTGAAATAGGAATCCTTAGTCTCCAGGCCACCAAGTGCTGAGAACTATGTAGAGGCAACATACATACCTCTTAGTGAAAAGTTTCAGAGGGGTAGCCAGTTTAGTCTGTATCTCCAAAAACAGCGAGTCCTGTGGCATGTTAGAAACTAACAGATTTATTAGGGAATAAGCTTTCGTGGGTAAAACCCACTTCATCAGATGAATTGGAGTGGCACTAACAGAAGCAGGGGTATATATAAAGAAGAAGTCTTGTCTTAATGAAGCTCATCAAGTCAGGGTGGAAGTGGGTCATTCACAGCATTTGATGTGATGTGAATAGCCAGGGAGGGGAAATTGCCTTTGTAATGCATTTACACTTCACTTGGCTTGCTACGGCTTCAATCCAGAAGGAGCTATCTTCATTATTCCCTAAAAATGAAGCTTTGAGAGTAGAGCTGGAAATGGGAGAGTCCAGAAAATTCCTTGGGAACTATATCATTAATTGTGATCCTGGATCAGTCTAGAAATGTTATTGCTGAGTGGAAGAAAAATAATAATCCAATTGTATTAAAGGAAAATGGTTCACTTACCTGAGTCCCAAAACTTAATCTTATGTACCATCCCCAGAGATGTATCTACAACATGTTAGATACAGCACTTGATCAATGGAGTTGCTTTTGATTTACACTTGGGTAGTTTGGGCCCATTCCAGAAGATCAAGTTGTCCCATTGAAAGCTCATCAACCAAAATTTGGAGCATAGTCTTTTTAAAACCAAACACAAATATTTTAAAAAATTGTGATGTATTTAAAATAAGTGATTAAAGCATGCATTCTTGGCAATAGAGCTCAAATCTGCCCACCCTTACTGTTGCATTTACCTGCTCACATTGAAAGGTGGTTGTGTGGCACAAACCACTTGTGAAGCAGTTTAAAAAAAAGCAATTTTTTTTCCACAAAAAAATTTGTTTTCAGTAAAGATTCAACTGAGGGAAAATAGTGCACCGGGGGAAGTTTCTGTCTGTCTGTCCAGCCTGGGAGCCCAGCCCTAGAGAAGAAAAGAGACAGGAGAAAACCAAACTACATTTCCCATGAGGAACTGCTATAGTGTATCCAGGTCAAAATATTTCCAAAATATTTTGGGTGTTTTATGATGGAAACATCTGAACACTTTTCTTGGAAAATTTTGTTTTGTCCAAAACATATAGTTTTTTACTAAAAATTTTCTGTGCAAAAGAAACCTGAGAGAAACAGCAATTGAGCTAGTTATGCAGCAAGGATGATGCCAGTCAGTGTCATAAAGAAGAGTCAGAATTCACTCACTTCAGCAAAGGAAAAAGGAAGGTGCACAGCAGAGGCTCCCTCCTAAGGGTATGGTTTCACTGCTGAGTTCACTTGGGTGATCAGCACCCGGCTCTGAATACTCGGTTTAGCCTAGTGCAGGTGTGAGCAGCTACACTGCAAAGCCTTAACCCAAACCCAAGTTGCTTTCTGCTGGTGCTGTACACCTGTGTGTGCGTGTTACTATGGCTGCTGGGTTTATATCCCAGGATTCTTTGTGCTGCAGTACGCTGAGCCGCTGAATGATTCTTTGGGAGAATTTATTTGTCCTTCTGGGCTCATAGGGGAGAATTGTGGGAAGGCATTGGAAGCCTGTCAGCATTGCAGTTGATTTAGCCTGTGTCACTAAGGGAAAGCAGGAAGGTTACCAGCCTTAGTGAAAACTCCAGCCTGCACCCCTAGCTGGACCGGCTAACTTGGGTTTAAAACATTACCAACTCCAGATGTGAGAGGAATTTGTGTGTGGATGGGAACGGAGGAGGATCTAGGGAAAACACCTGAGGAAGAGCCCAAGTTATCACCACAAGGAAGACATACCTTTCATGCTAAACCTTATTAAGCAATGGAATAGTGTCTCTCGGCAAGTTTTGGAAACCCCATCACATAAGACATTTATAACTGGACCTGATGGAGAATTAAAGTGTCCCAGGGGGGGGGGGGGGATTCAGTATCATTAGAAGGACTAAATGAGCTAATTAGATGTCTTCCATTTCCAACTGCAAATGCTTTTGATGTTGCAAGAGTCTAGGTCAAGGAAAGTAATTAGGATAAAGGAAAAACTCTTAAATGGAAAGAATGGCTTTAATTATATGAGCATAAACGTGTTGATTGTAACTATTTAAATTGCAGGTATCTTGATCTCCGACAATTTGGATCTGTCCCTCATGGAGGCTTTGGATTGGGATTTGAGCGCTACTTGCAGTGCATCTTGGGAGTGGACAATATCAAAGATGTTATTCCTTTCCCAAGGTTTCCTCACTCCTGTCTTTTGTAGCTCCATAGCTGACTCACATGGACTGATCTGCGCTGGAGGAGTTATATGTATAATGTGTCTGCAGAAGACTATTTGCAGTGATATTGGGGAAAGACAGAGGATTTTTACAGCAAATAATCTTGTGGTAAATTTAATGGAGGGAGTTGAGGAGAGATGCTCCTCTTGGGAGATTTTGGACCCTGCCATTTCTTAGTATAAATTATGTAGCACATCAAATCTTCAAAGCACTTCAGCTGCATTAATGAATCTTACTTAACTAACCGGTTAAAATCCTCACAGGAGGAACAGAAGTCAAGACTTTAATGAGTAGGCATTGTTGGGAGCTGGTATTTTTTAATGCAAGATGTTAATGAGAGGGTGTGGCCCAAGCCAGGATTGCTACGAGACTTAATTACATGTCTGCACGGTGCTTTGAAGATGGATTGCTATAGAACTGCGAGGTGTTATCATTACTGTAACACCTTTGTTTTTAAGAAATGGCTATTGCAAAGAAAGATTCTCCCCTACCCTGAATTCAAAACACCTGTGAGTTTGGGAAGCAAATCCTAATCATCTTAACCTGGCAAGGAAAAATGTCTCATATATTGTAACTGTGGGGGTGAAGGAGTTGATGGCAGTTGATTTTGTAAGTCAGTAAACATACAGTTTTTTTTCCTGGTTTTTTTTCATGGTTTGTTTTTCAATTATACAATTATTGTATTCATCATAATGGTGATTCCTTCAACCTGTTCAGCAACTATCCTTTAACTTACAGTAGACGGAGAGCTCTGTAAGAGGTGATCTTTACGTTAAAGCGAAGGCGAATTCATGGGAAGAAAGAAATGTTATCTTAAATGGAAAAACACTTGAGCCTCTGAAGCCAACACGTACTTTCCCATTTTTCTTGAGAAACTATTTCATGTTCTACTGGCCAATCACATTTACCAGCATTTGTAAAACACCCTGCAACTAACACACGCTCCCACCTAATCATTGTATATCAGGTAATAATGGCTCTCTTCATGATCTTCTGATACAGTTTTTGGTAAGATTTAACCTCCCTGCTAGGTGGAGAAAATATATCCCCGTTATACAGATGGGAATTGTGTGTAGATTAAGTGATTGGTCTAAGGTCACATGAGAAAACTGTGGCTGAGCTGATAATTTGTTGGGAAAAAACCCTTTTGCGCAAGAGTCTGTAAACCTCATTTTTTTAAGAATAAAGGATCTTGCGCAAAAGGACTTTTTCCCAACAAATGGCCCCGTCTACACAGGGCTTTTTATCACAAAATCCTCTTCTGCAAAAGGATAGGGAGAAGATATGCAAATGAGCACTCCATTTGCATTTCCTCTTCCGCAAAAAACACAGCTGCTGCCTGATTGTGTATTTCCAGTTCCGAATGAGGCTTGTGGCTGTGGCATAGCCATGGCTGGGCCTGAGTGGGCTGCTGCCCCCCCACTTATGATCCAGTGGTCCACTTATGAGACTACCCACTCGTTTCCCCGGCACCCCCTGCCCTGCTCAGCTGGTCTGGCACCCTTGCCGGGGAGCAGAGTTGGGGCACAGACATGCCCCGCTCTGCCGGCCCTGTGCTTCTGACAAGGTTAGGGCACAGGTTTGCCTCTCTCTTTTCCGTTCTTGCTCCAGCTGCAGAGCCCAATCGGGAACAAGCCCCCACTGGCCAACCCGGGTCCCCCTGACAGGACCGCTGGGCAAATGGGGCAAGCCCCCAAACTCACTTCCTAGCTGTAGTGCAGGGGGGGGCTCTGATGGCTCCTACCCTGCCCTCCTGACCTTGCCCACCCACCCACCCTAAATTGGGACCCATGCAAGTGTCCTGGTTTGCCTCCACCACTGGTGTGTGGTTGACTGGTCAGCTCGTAACTCTGAAGTTACTCATAGACTCATAGACTTTAAGGTCAGAAGGGACCATTATGATCATCTAGTCTGACCCCCTGCACAGTGCAGGCCACAGAATCTCACCCACCCCTCCTAGAATAATCCTCTCACCTATATCTCAGATATTGAAGCCTTCAAATACTTTGAAGACCCCAAGATGCAGAGAATCCTCTAGCTGTGATCTGGACCCCATGCTACAGAGGAAGGCGAAAAACCTCCAGGGCCTCTGCCAATCTACCCTGGAGGAAAATTCCTTCCCGACCCCAAATATGGCGATCAGC